AAATTTTAGTCTCTGAGGGCCATATTTGGGTCTCTGTCACAGAGCTGTCTTTGTATTTTAATGACACCTTCAAGATCACTCTTAGCTAGTGGGCCACGTAAAACAGGTAGTGGATTGTCCATCCCTCTTATTTCTAAGAGAACAAAGTTATATGAAATTAGAAGCTGACTAGCGTGACTATAACCTCTGAATATAAAATGTGCAACAGCCTTTTCCACTTGTTCTTGTATATTGGGATACAGTGTTACGACCTATAAAACAATTTGGTGTGCAATATCATATTCAGCATTTAAAAATTTTATAATTCCCAGAAGATAGGAATCAATATTTACTGTATGTTTACTCTGTGCCAGGCACCATATAAGAATCACACATGTATATACATGTGTATAAATATGAATTCTCAATTACCACAATTCTGTAAGGTACGTGTTGCTATCCTGGTTTAAGATGACAAACTGGAGGTTCGGTGAAGTTAACTATCTAATCTGGCACATAGCTATCTGTTTAATCTTTCAATAAATAATTAAGAAAACTTCTGAATTAGAAGTCAGATACCAGAATTCTAGCACCAGGTCTGACACTTACTACGTGCACAACCTTATCTGTTTAAAAAAAGGGGTAAGAAGGATAATGTTTTGCCCAGCCTACCACAGAACACTCTTGTGAGTATCAAATAAGAGATAGGGAAGTTTTTTTAATAAATTATAAAAGTGCCATAAACATGTAAATAATTACTTTCCTTATAGAAATTAAGAAATTATAAATATTTTTATATCAAATTTATTTCAAACATTCTATAAATATATAAGTTAAAAATAATTTCAGATAACTCTTTAATGAATTAACAGACACTAGTTGACATATTTAGAAAAAAAACTGGCCTGAAATATTACACATTATCACCTTGGAGGAGAATCATCCTGCTTTTTAAATCCAGGCGGCAGGGCTGGTCCAAAAAACCCTTCATCATCATCATCATCATCGTCATCTTGATTTCTTCTCTGTTTTCTGAAAACACAGTATAATTTTATGCATGTATGTCAGAATTGTTTTCATAGAGAAATTTTAATTTTTAAAGGAACAGTAACTCAACTAGTTGTATAAACAATGAAACAATAAATTAATCTTGCCAAGTAAGAAAAAAAATCTACCACAGGTCTTATACTAATCTTTTCCTGGAATTTATCTGTGGCCTAAAATAGAGGATGGTTACTTCTTTACAGAAGTAATGTATCAGTTTTATACATTTTCTGCGGTGTTAAAGATTCTACTCAATGAAGTTTCAAATAGTCTATTTGCTAGATACTTCTCAGCAAAACGTTTATGACTTTGGCTTTTAATTTCACTTAAAGAAGGGTTTTCAGTTGCTATTTCTGTATCATAATTATTAAAATACATTTAAAAAACCTTGCTAACCAATAATAAACAAAGATTCAACTTCTTATTTACATGGACCTGCGCTGAGTATGGCTAGGTCAGAGGGAAATCATTCATTTGCTTAAACAAAAACGTACACTGCATGCATAATTTTTAAAAGAAATCATCTGGCTTATTTAGAATAATTTAATCACTTCACTAATACCTTAAGGAAAAATCCTTTATGTTAGAGTTTTATTGAAATTCTAGATATCTGGGGAGCTAGCTATAGACTACTAGAACAAATTTCATTGTAACAGGTGTAGTTCATGAGGAAATGCCATATGAAGTGACTTCTTCCTGTGCTACACAAATGCAGATACGATATCCCCTTTGTAGCTATCTGTTCCAGCCAATGTATATGGTTTGAAGCTTGGTCTATCATTTAACGTAATAAGTGACTGACCTTGCAGTGGGACCACTGTCATCTTCTTCAGATTCTTGATTTCCTTCATCATACAAAGAACTGCTGTCCTCATCGCTGTCTGACGACTCTGAACTACTGCTTTTATAATTAGGAGGCAGAGCTGGTCCTGCAACTACAGAAGATGTCTTGTGTATGTCATAAGTAGTCACAACTGTTTCAGTGAACCTCAGCTGACACTTCACACTTTCTTTTCTGAAATTCACAGCACTGGCAGGCTATCATTTATTACGGACTTGAATCTCATTTGCTCCTGTTTTGTGTATAGTGGTTTTTGTCTTTCCAACTCCAAGAAGGCAGAAATCATGTCTTACACAATATTAATTTTGAGATTTACAAAATCTTTAACACTCAAACTTATAAATATAGCAATAGCGTGTAATTGTTTACATCTTCCAGTTTTTGCATTGGTTGTAATTTTGGTTGGTCCATCTGCCAAAATGTTTCATGATTTTTTTTTTCTTACAGACAACATATGGTAGACCATATTTACATCACAGAGCTAACCAAACAACAAACTTGCCATTCCATACTCCAACATATTAAAAATCAAAATTATCCCATCTGGTTTCTAAGAATTTTCACTGAAGAAGATATCTTTACTGGCATTACTATACTTCTCGGTTAGTTTTCTGTTGCCGATGATTTTCCACACAGAAACAAAAGTAGAGGCACTTTAAGTTTTAGTGCTCACTAGTCGAGATTCAGAGAAAAGAATGAGGCTGTACTGAGTTGGGGATGCCTCGAAAATGAGTGAGGGTCTTCAGGGCCCACAAGAAGAGAACTGCTCTCTCTTTAAGGCTCAGAAAAGTTACAGATTATTGCATGATGTCATGATGTCACACAGACACAACTGTCTATGTCGATCCTGAGCAGTGATGCTAAACCTCTACTGCCAGAGTTCCCAAGCCTGGATGTTTATCAGAATCACCAAAATATATAAAAAAAAGAGAGAGATTCCTGGGGACTTCCAGAGAGTCTGACTTAGATGGCCTGGAAATATGATTTTCCAAAGAGCTTCCCAGGTAGACTATTAATTCAATATTAAAAACCAGACATACAAAAAGAGATTTACACACATTAACCTATTTTATTTTGACAACAACCTTATTAGGGAGGTATTTATTTCTGTCTTATAGATGAGGAAACTGAGGCAGAAGTAACTTGCCCAATTTCACACAACTGAACAGCAGACCTGGGATGTGAACCCAGAAGTCTGATTTCAGAGTCTACACCTTTAACCACTGTACTAAACAACACCCAACAAAGAGTCAGCATCCATCATCCAACAAATATTACTTAAGTAACTACTTCTAGAGAAACAACTTTAAAAAGAAACAAATAAAAAAGGTGACTGTGAATATGTTGGAGGGTAATTTTAAAGCCAGAGGTCAGGGAAGGTCCCCTAGAAGACCTCTGAATGGAGACTTAAATGATGAGATGACAGTGGCCAGGCAACAATATAAGGAAAGAACATTCTAGATGGAGGAGTTGCTGGTGCAAAAGTCTTAAGGAAAGAACAAGCTTGATGTGCTTGAGAGACAAAAAGGCCTGTGCAGCTAAAGCAAAGAAAGCAAAGTGATAAGACACTGTTGGATGGTTACAAAGGGGCCACACTGTATGCTTTGGGGCCAGACTCTCTGGCTTTGAATTCCAGCTCAGCCACTTACTAGCTGAGCAATTTGGATGTTATTTAACCTTCCTGTGTTATATGCTTAATTTGTAAGATGAGGTGAATAGTAGTTCCAATCTCAAAGGGCTGTTGTGACGATTACATAGTTAATACATTCAAAGCACCTAACACAGTATCTGGTATACAGTAAGCACTCCACAAATGTGAGCGCAAGATGTGGTAAGGAGTTTGGATTTTAATTATAACAGGCAGTCACTGCAACGTTTTAAGTCTGCAAAGACATAATCTGAGTTACCTTTTTTTTTTTTTTAAATAATTGTCTGCTGTAGAGTTAACAGAGGGGTCAGGAGTAGGAAGATGAGTTAGAAAACTGGTAAGAAATGGTTTGATTTGCAATGTGCTTTGAAGGAAGGGCAAAGAGGACTTGCCAATGGTTTGCATGTAAGAAATGAGAACCAAAAAAAAAAAGGAACTGAGGATGAGCCGTAGGTTTCTGGCCTGACTGGTTAGCTGGGAGGACAGTAATGCTATTCTCTAACATGGGCAAGACTAGAAGGGAAGCAGGTTTGGGGGAAGAGCCAAGACCTTGTTTTTTGCATCTTAGTTTAACACGTCTGTTAAAAATTTCAGTGGTACCCAAGTTATACTAGCAGAAAGCTCAAGGAAAAAGTCGAGGTCAGTTTTAGAACCATTTATCTACTTCTGAAAAAATTTTCCTATCATCCCTTGGTGTATTACTATAGATCAAGTGCTCAATACACAATAAACTGACTTTAAAAAAATCTAAACTTTTATCTTCAAAAATTGGATGCATTTTTTCCTACATTCTTCTACACATCATTAAACAAAGGAAGGAATTTAGAAAATAAATGCTAAGCTTGTAATACAGCATGCATAGAAAGAACAATCAAGCAGCAAAAAGGGGAAAACCTTAAGAATTAAGGGATGAGGGGAGGGTATAGCTCAAGTGGTAGAGTGTATGCTTAGCATGCACAAGGTCCCAGGTTCAATTCCCCAGTACTTTCTCTAAATAAATAAGTAAATAATTAAACCTAATTATCACCCCCCAGAAAAAACAAAAACAGAAAAGAATTAAGGGATAGGATTCATATCTCCAACTGCTGTGTAAGACTGAAGAATAGTTAATGTCTTAGCATGTAAATGTTCCCAGCTATCAATGCAGATTATATCTGCCTTCTGGCTGCATGCAATGAACAATGCCTTTACTGATTTCTGGTTTATTTTTGTATGCACTACTAACTCCCAGAGAAGAAGGGGAAGACACTGCCTTCCATGAATGCCCTTTTCTTCAAAATTCTAGGGGGTCACGGTTTAACATGAAACAGACTGGAGGATTACATTGCTCCTTTCTTTTCTTAGATGTGGGTGTTATCAATGTAATTTGTCGATATGACACTACTGGCTAATTTTGGGTTGGTTCAGATCATTAAGAGATTTTATTCTTTTAAATAGTTCAAATGATTAAAATGCTAAATGGGCTAAACGTGTGCTGTCCTTGGGATTATAACTAACAGATAAGTTTGCCTTGATTTTTTTTTTTTAATGGAGGTAATGAGAATTGAATCCAGGACTTCCTGCATGCTCAGCACGTGCTCTACCACTGAGCTATGCCCACTCCCCTGCCTTGCATTTTTAAAGAAGGGAATGAACAGATGAATATAATCTCATCTGAGAAGAATATATGGCCTTATTTTTTAAATGATCATAGGAAAAATAATGTATAAAGTAACATTTAGAATATAGAATTATTTATTTTCCATTTGGGTTGTGTCAAAAGAAATCATTTACATAATAACATAATACCAAGAAATGATAATATTAAATAAGAAGAATATTGAAAGCATAAGTTACTATAAGCCACACTACAGACTTACTAATAAAACTGAGGATGTGCCTGGCTTCACATTTTTATAGGTATCATTCTTCAGAACTATATACAATGTCTCAAAAATTATTTTAGGCACTTAAAATGATCTATTCCATCTCTCTCCTAAAGCAGTGATGTTCATTATTAAGATAGATCTCCCACTGCAATGGTAGTTTTACAAATAGATTGTAACTGCCATGTGAATAGAGAGAACGTGCCTTATATATTCCATTATGTTTCCCTTGTAGCATCTATCACACAGAATTATGCATACAAAAAGATGTACTCAGTATAACACATCAAATCTCATTACAGATCAGCGATCAATTAATGCTAATAGGAAACGCTAACTCTGAACCTCAATTAAACAAAATGTTATTGCCCCCAAAGCAATTCCATTCTTCTCATTAGTAGACTTATACTACAAAAAACTGTACTCCATTGAGTTTTGAATTTCAACAATAAAAATTTGTTTTCTCTCTTGTTATACACATACTTTCATAATAATCCTGATTTTGCCTGTTGACTGGCAAAGCCTAAAATATTTACTATCTGGTCCAGGAAAAGCTTGCTGGTCCCATGACAGGGTTAAGTCATGGAAATATAAATAAAGAGCATCCAACTGTCTTTTGATGGGACTAGATAGTGATGTCAGAGAAAAGTTTCCTAGAAAAAGTGTTGGTTGGAGATCTAGTCAGAGAAAAAGGAGAAGCGACAGGGGGATGTGGAGTAGTCTTCATGAAGATGGAAACAATTGGAATGTTCTGGTTCAATGCTAAGGGCAAAGAGCCCTGCAGACAAGGGAAGGGATTCCACGTAAAAGCAGAAGGATTAGCCTTGGGAGAAGGTAATATCCCTCTTCCATTATGATCAAAGGGAAGATGAAAGAACCTGGCAGAGTCAGGGAAGTTTTTAGGCAAAGTGCCAGAAAAGTGAGGAAGTTTTCTTAAGGCGGCCCCTACTTTTTCTGTGAAGCAGAATGACAGTGAGTCTAAGAAAGAGAAGGTTTTAAAAAGCCAAGGCTGATGATGGGGAGGAGCTGTGTGGGGACCCTCTGGGCAGCGCTGGGGACCCAGCCAGGGAGGAGACTACAGTTTTCGGCAGCATTAGCCTGAGGAAATGTGAGAATTCTTCGAACAACAGTTGGAAGCCTGGGTGTGGGCTCACAAAGGCTGCATATTTGGACTGATCCACAGCTGGGTTTTTGCCAGATGGGTTTAACAGAATACTGAAGGGGAGAAGGCAGTTGAAAACACTGGCAAGAGAAGGAATGAATGGATAGACTACTCGGAGGCTAAGTCAGGGACAGAAATAATTAAAGGAGGCCAATAATGACAGGCAGAGATCACATGGCTCAATGAGGCTAAAAACAAAAATAAAAGATTAAAAAAAAGTGTAATGAGAGAATCTGAGTAAGGACAATGGATGACTAAGGGGTTCTGGCTCAGAACAAGATCTGAATTTAGGTTTTCAGGATGGCACAGGGCCAGAGTGTGAGTGCAGATGTGGCTGAGACAAGTGGAGTGGAGATCACCACAGGTGAGGAGAATGGACTTAGAGTCACAAGAGCCAAGCCTGCACTCGGCTTTCACAG